ACTTCAACTAGGCGTCTTTGGAACCTCGCCATTTATTTTCTGGGATACAGTGGGCCTGTTGCAGCACCCTTCCCTCATTCATGTGGAAACCCTGGGGCAAAAAGTGAATGAAATGTATTTAAATGAATGGAATTTCTTAACATGCACCTATTATACTGGATTCAGGCAAAATTGTATAGTCTTATTTAAGACCTATGTATGAACTACTGCAGTTTAGATATAAGACTAGTAATAAATAATACATATTTTGTAGTATGTTAATACCTCAAAGTTAGTATTGAAGGATCCAGAGCATATACATCACCAAAATATTTGAATATATTGTGCTTTATTTTTAAATCTGAATCAGTTAGTCTACTTTTTAAAAATCTATTTTTATTGACACATTTGGTTATAAGTGCATGGATAATAGCACATTTTGGGACTTTTACTAGTGTATCTTTTAGAATTTTGGAGGAAAGGGGACAAAGTGATAGTGTTATGAATATCATTCAGGACAGGATCATTATAAAAAGTTCTCTGAAGCTGTGATCCTGTGCATGTTTACACAGAAAAAAGGCATTTTTCCTGTCTAAACATGCATGTGATAGTGCCCTAAATTTCAGTGCTAAATGAAATGTATACAAGTCATGCAATATGGTCTTAAGTTTTCAAATACAGCACTTTTCTGGCCATGTCAAACCTAAGTGGCAGTGAATATGTAGATTTTGATAGAAAGGAATAAATAAAGTCTTCCTTGAACTTTCACTGTGAAACAAAAGCTTTCTTGTGACATCTCAACCAACAAAACATTCAGCAGAAGTCCTATACTACCTTGCTTGGAAGTGGGTCCTGATGAACACAGTGGGATTTACTACAGAGTAGGCATGTTTAGGATGGCTCAGTTAAAGCATTTTGATTAGACAAGTGAATAGAGAATTTGACAAAAGGCAGACATGTCAATATATGGATAACCTGAAGACTGCTGGTAGAGATTTACCCAACAGTGAAAGAATTAACTCAACAGATCTTCAATCCATGTTAAGAATAAAGTGTAAGTTTTTAAAATGGAGGGAAGGCATCAGGAAAAACGGGAAGAACTTCCAGTTAGGGAAATTTTCCTGCCTTTTTATAAACTTGTAATTCAAATCTTGTTATATCTTCACATGCAGATCTTTAGGCATTAGTACTGCCCAAAGCACGTGCTCTTGAGTTGAAACAAGAATATTGGCACATTCCTTTTGCCTGTTGTTCCTTTCTCTGAAGAGCCACCCCTGCTGCCATTACACTGTTGCAATAGATTTATTTACCTATTTATTTATTTGAAGTTTTTCTATACAGTCATTCATTAAAAATCTCATGACAATTTACAATTTTTAAAAAAACCAATTAATTCAAACAGTAAAACAGTTAAAAACAGCTTAGTGCCAGTACTTGCTAAAATAATTAAAATACCATTCAACAATTAAAAACACAGGATAAATAAAAAGGTTTTGTCCTAGTGGCAGAATGAATAAAGCACCAGTGCCAGGCGTACCTCTCTGGGGAGTGAGTTCCATAATCAGGGTGCTATAGCAGAAAAGGCCCTTCTCGTAACAGCCTTCCTCACCTCTTTCAAGGAGAGCTCTCAGAGAAGGCTCTCCACAGATGATCTTAAGGTCTGGGCATGATCATATGGAAGGAGACATTCCCTTAGATAACCAGGCCATAAATCATTTAGGGTTTTATATGTCATTGTCAGCACTTTACATAGGGCCCAAATTTCAATTGGTAGCCAGTGTAGCTGATATAGGACTGGTGTAAAATGTTCTCATCTAGCAGTCCCAGTCAGCAATCTGGCAGCTCTATTTTGAACTATTTGAACTAATTGCAATGTCCAGATCATCTTCAAGGGCAACCCCACATAAAGTGTGTTACAATAGTTTAAGTACGAGGTTACCAGTGCATGAGTTGCTGTTGCTAGGGCTTGCCTGTCCAGGGAAGGATGCAGCTTTAGCTGAAGGAAAATGCTCCTTGCCGTAAATGCCACCTGAGATTCCAAGGATAGCTTTGGGCCAAGGAAGTATTTCCAAGCTGTGTACCCTGTTCCTTAGAGGGAGTGCAACTGCATCCAAAACAGGGTGTATATCACTCACCTGAACAGTTGGCCCACCCTCCAGCAACACTTTTGTCTTATCTGGATTGAGCTTCAATTTGTTGGTCTGGATGAGGGTTAGGGTTAGGGTTAGGGCCACAAGGCTGAAAAAGTAAGAGCAAAGCTGTCATTGTCCTGTAGAATACCTAGGGATGAGCTGGCAGTATATGCAGAAGAGAGGGCAGAAATCCTGGGGAGTAGGAAAGGCTGGCAAATGGGAAGGGGTGAGGATGGATAATTTGGAGCTGAAAGATGAGAAAGGCAGGAAAAAAAATAATCATGCTTCTTTCCTGCCACTTCTCCACTTACAAGGTATTGAATTGGATTTATAACTATATAATTCCAAGTAACATCTTGTTTGGACCCCAGGTGGCTGCAGGAGAATGTAAACAAATAATTGAGAACCTGTTTATGCTGTAGATACAGTGTTTACTAGAGCCTCATTGAGGTGATTGTAGATTCCTTATAGAAGGAAGCATGGAGGAATAACTTTTTTGCTGAATGCTGTGAAGTTGAGGAGGAACTGCTGATTGTGTATAAAATTGACAACATTTTCTTTCCATTATATATGCTCAAGTGAGTTAAAACCCAAAGAGAGCCTTTGGGCTGTTGGGTGGTATAAAATGTATTAAATAAATAGATAAACATAATAAAACAATATGCATGTTCTCTAATATGTGAATAACAAGCTGCTGAGTTCATTTGGGAAAAAGATCTTAGGACCATCCAATTCCATTTGGCAGTTTCTGATGGGTCAGCAGACAATAAGCAGTTTTCCTAACCAAACCTCCAAATTGCGCAAGAATTCGCTGATGTTGCCAGATATGAGAAGCAGTAGCAGTATGTTTTGGTATTAAGAACGCTAACAACCATCTAGCAACCATAAATTCAGTCTTAAAAGGTAATAATTGCATCCAGGTTTTTCCTAGCTGAGTTTGAGCCTGTGGAGCATGAACTAATGAAGCCAAATTTGCTTTTAAAAAGCTTGTGCAAGATTAAGCTGGTACAAAGCACTCTTACATCTATTCAGAATTAGGGTTGGATCCAGGATTATCCTTTAGATACCGAACTTGCTGCTTCAAGGAGACTACAGCCCCACTTCAGAATGGGCTATATGTCTATTCCTCACTCACCTACCATTCATCTTCCTATTCTCTGTTTTCTGTTAATAAATAGACTAATAAATATTCACAAGTACAAACAGAGGAAGTTTGTGTATCATTAGTTTATAGCTTTTTAACATTAAGCTGCTTTGAAGCTTTTGTAGATAATTTCCAACATAAGGTGATATCATTATTCTTCCCATATCAGAGGTGGTAGAAATACAAGGTTAGGCATGACTTGTTCATAATCGAACTGTGAGTGTCTCTTCCTTGAGGCTCTGCTGTGTCTGCCTCTTGCTTCCCTAACTAAGGTGGGAGGATATGTTCTTGCACTAACAGTTCTGATTAGCCCTGTTGGGCTTAAATGCTTGACTTCTGGCGCAAAATAAGGACAGAATCAGTTTGGTTTTGCATATTACAGGGTGGAAAGAGATATGCTGCAATCTTATGTCTCTGATTAGTGTCCCTGCATGGTAAATTTTGCAGATGTGTGTTGATTTCATTAATGTTTCACATTTTTAGGTGTATGTGAAATCCATCTTATTTGGGCTACTAAAAATGTTTCATTTAAAATATTCTCAATATGTAATTTGTATATTTCCCCTATAAAGTATGTTCCCAAATAGTGGTACAGGGGCACTAAGCAGGCTGAGGTGTTCTCAGAACCTTCTTGTAGACTGTGTTGCTGCACTGCAGATTGAATTAGAAACTTAAATTGAAGAAGTTCAAAAGCTAAAGAAAAGAAGTCCATTTAAAAGCTTTGGCCTATGAAACTTGATGCTACAATACATTTGTTAGTTTCTGATGGCATTTCTGACCATTGGTCATGCTGCCTGGGACTGATGGGAGTTGAACTCCAAAACATCTGGAGGACATCAGGTTGAGGAAGGCTGGTATATTAGGTGCCTTAGGTCTTTGGTTTTAATATTATTTATTTATGTTATTTAAAACATTTTTCTCCCATCCTTTGTAACAAGCCCTAGGATGGCTTACAAAAGGTTAAAATAGTAATACTGTATAAGACACAATCAAAACTTTTGATAACAACAGTTCAAAACTAAAGAAAGAGAGGAAAGAAAGAAAAAGAAAGAAGAGAAAGAAAATGCGACTGTGTAAAATATTAATTATTAAAATGATGGCTAAATAAAAAGGTCTTTACCTGGCACCAGAAAGAGTAGAGTCCTTTAATCTTTTTGTAACTGATTAACTGCTGAAATAAATTGTTGATAAACAGCTGATAGATTTGTTTCAAATGTCATACTTAGCTGTTCATATGGACACACATCACAAAGTGTCATCTTTCTTATGCTTTGGATAGATTTAGATTTGGGAAACCCTATATTTTCATGTTTTAATTCAGTTGTCCATTGTGTATTAGATGCTGGCTTGGATACCCTGTATTTTCATTAGATATTACAGATTAAAGTTGTAATTCTACACGAGTTTCAGCAGAATAAAATCCGACAACTCCCAGCATGTCCCAGCCAGCCATGGGAGTCATTGAACTTTTTATGGTCTAAATATGATGGGATTGCACCCCAAGTGATGGAAGCTGAATATGAGCATAAGGAAGTATAGAAAGGATTGTCTTCCTCCAGTTTCAGTATGTACTTGCTTGTAATTCACTGGACATATGACCAACAACCTGAGCAAAATTAACATGGGAAGGATAAAGCTCCACTCTTTGGCATGTGGGCATGCAACTATGTATTCTGTTCCCTAGATTACTTTTCAAAGCTTCCCTGTAATATATTATTCAAACAATTGCATTTTTCCTTATAAAGGTCAAAACCTGAAAACATACATTTTTGCACACGTCTTTTGCTGGATTACAGAAAGGAGCCATGAATGACATTGCACAGAAGACTGAGGTATGTATGAAGTTTATATTGATCATAAATTTTGTCTTTGCTGTATGAACCTGAAATAAGTAAGATTTGTGGTTCTCAAAATACAAAGTGAGGCAGGACAGTTGCCAGAGAAGGAAGCACAAGCTTATGGTCTGATTACAAGTCTATTTTTGTCCATTTCGAAGAACTGTATGAGCTTAGAGGTTCAAGGGAAAGCATGTACAGATTGCCTTTTTCTACTATTAGGTGCATGGCAAAACCATCTTGTATGGAGGTATTCTTTGTCAACATCAGAGTTCCTGTTCTTGAAACATATTGTTTAACTAAGATGTAGATCTAACTTCTAGCCCAAGAGGACCTGAGAAAGAGGTAGTGAACCTAGCCTAAAACTTTACAGTATTGTTCATTTTAGCAAAACAGAATAAATACAAAATAATAACTTCTTATGATTTTAGTAGTAGGGGGCTGCTTATAGCTGAACCTAACAGTGTACAGACAAACATACTTGCTAACAGTTTGCTCTTTTGCTTGTTTATTTTTTAAAGAACTACCAATTAATAGTCTAGATAGTCTAGATTAATGAAAGGTTCAAGGTTAGAGTCCATAGTAACATAGCAAAGGTTGCCCTGTCCTTTTCCTGAGAGGGCTCCTGTACCTGGACAAAGGAACATCCTGCTCAGCAGCATTTTTTCTTGCCAAATCTCTAGAATTTTGTGAAAGGAAATTCTACATTTCTCACAACCCCTGCTTCTGTGTAACTTTTAAGCTTCCATCAATAGAAGAAATTGATGTATCACTCTGATTTTGGAGCCAGTTACACTGCAGGAAAGCCATAGATGTAGAACACCTAAGAGTTGGGATTAAACATTTTACTATTGGCAAGTTAAAAAAATACTCCTTCAAGAACCATTTTGTTTCATTGATGAAAACATAGTAATACAGAATTCATTAGGGGTTGACAATATCTCATGGTGTAAATACCTATAACAGTCATGTTGGGGAAAGATTATTTTGAAGCAATGACTAGATTACCTTTTGGAAAACTTTCCAGGGGCCATATGCCAGAAGAGGGTGGGACCCTTCTAAAACAGAGGTGGCATTCCAAACCTGGCCCATTTTTTAAATGTCAGCAATGGCAGGCCCTTCTACTTCTGAAACTGCTTCTCTGGGCATCCCAGACAAGCTGCTGTATCCCCTAGTCTTATCATAACAGAGAATTCTCTCAGGTTGTTGTATGAGATTGCTGTGTCTTTATGCACTGAAAAAGGGAACAACTGTTCTTCCTTCAGGTATCACATGCTGTTGTCCCATAAACTTGCAGTCAAGTTGTGCTGTGGACATGTCTGGTTTGTTCATTATCTCCAGTGTGGAAACCAGAATCCAGTTTTGCTAGCCCATTTTGCTAGCCAGTTTTACTAGCTAATACTGGTAAAAAAGTCTACCCAGAGCCCTGTAAATGTTCCCCACACGCACACCCCTATTTTGAAACTACAACACAAGCCATATTTTGTGGGATTAGATAGCATCTAGAACTTATTATGCATCTTTTATTGAATGGCAATAATTATTAATCATTTATAACGTTTTCCTATGGCACAAATCATTTTGGAGGAGAATCTCACAATTAGGAACAAAATGTCTCCAAAGAAGAATAAATATTTGCTCATTAAATAGAGTGAAGGGGAAGCCCTCCCCTCCAACGAAGTTGCTAAGTCTCAAAGAAGGGTATAAGTGGGGATAAAATGTTTTTTAAAAATCAGGTTTGTAAAGGTTTTGTACACTTGTCATATACAATTGACTCCTAATACCAAGCAGTGATATTAAGAAAAAGTAGTAATCCAGTATGAAAGAGAAAAATATGCTTTTCACAAGTTCTTGAATACACATCTGCAGACATGAAGAGTACCTCAAATATTAAACTGCATTTTGCAGGGGTTATATTGCTCTCTAAGTGCAGGCTAGTTCAGTTTTCCCAGCCATTTCAATAGGATTAGAATTGACCTTAAAAACTAAAAGAATAAAAGCATTAAATTAATGCTTTAATTAACCCTAATTAAACACCATCATAGGAATTCACACCTTATCATAGTTGAGGAATACCTGGAGCATGGAATGGCAGTAAACAGTCACAAAACAAAAAATAAGTTCCCCATCCTACCGCTCTACCACTGCTGGAACAAGTTTGACCTGATCCATGCAGAGGGTTAAAGGTACAGGAGCCTGATCAGGGTCTAGACGTCATAATCACAAGCAACGTTAAGATGCTTTCTCTTGACTTAAACATTGCAAATTTAGATATCATAATGTAGTTTGGGATGTGAAAAATGATCTATCTATTTTCACTGTTTTTATTAATCTCACAATCTGTCTAATATACTGTACAGTTTCTCTTCATTTGCTTCTACCTCTTTTCCTTGTCTTTGCCTTCTCTACATCTTCACAAAGATTCTGCTTTCTTCGTCTAAACCTGTCCTAAAGTCCTATGTTCCCAGACTTCGAAAGGGTGATGTAAAGGATAAATTTGAAGCCATGCAAAAAGCAAGGGAAGAAAGAAATCAAAGACGATCTAGAGATGAAAAGCAAAGAAGAAAAGAACAATATGTTAGAGAGAGAGAATGGAACAGGCGAAAGCAGGAGGTCATTTCCTTTGCAAATACTTGTTTCTGTTACTTTTTATACTTATTGGCATATAAACTTCATAAGTGCTCTAGAATTTTTATTTCATGTTTTTAAAGACTATGAGCCTTAATATCTGTGATCTGTTATTCAGATGAAAGACCTGCTTGCTTCAGATGATGAAGAACAAAAGGTTTCTCAAGTAGAGAAAGCTTATGTTCCAAAACTGACAGGTAAGGATTAACATCCATGTCATGATGGATTATCCTTTTTATTCTAGTTTATAGTAGAATACCTTTTTGGAGTTTCTTTTTAAGTTGTATTTCTGAGTTTTATGGATTTAGAACTGATTTTTATTATGTGTAGTGTGATTTTTAAAAATCTTGATTGGTGTTCAAAGCTTCAGGAGCCACTTGGGTGTTACAGAAAATGAGTAAATTATTTATAGGATGTTAGTTTTCTGCCAACAAAAGAATATCAGAGACATTTACTTTTGCCTTCTGCTGCTTATAGGAACTGTCAAAGGAAGGTTTGCTGAAATGGAAAAGCAGAGACAAGAAGAAGAAAGAAAGAAAATGGATGAGGAACGCCAGCGAAGAATTGAGCAAGACATGATAGAGAAAAGGAAAATTCAGAGAGAACTGGCAAAGAAAGCACAGGAGGTATGCTTATAGTAACTGACAAAATACCTTCCAAATACAAAAACTGATCATACATCTTCACCTCCACTTTCCAAAATAAACACAAAGCATTTGACACATCATGTTGTACACAAACCTTTAAAAAACCCTTCTGTTGGTGAAAGGAACTGAAACCCAAGAGAGGCGGCTGATGCTGGGACTGGGTGAAAGACTTCTTCAGCTATTCCCTGTGCTACTTCCCATCCTGTTCTGGAAAGTCCCACAGCCCTTTGGATCCACTTTTCAAGCTCTTGAAGCTTGGATTTGGCAAGGGGAATTGGCAAAAATCATGCCACTGTACTTCTTCCATTAGAATTCTATCAATGGAGCATTTGGATCCAAGTCAGTGTGGTAAGCATTGTAGTTGAATATTAGAAGCCACCCACACTGTGGCCGGCGTTCTTTGGGAATTGGGGGTACATCTAGATCAATTTCTAGTCTTTCTTAGCTTCTTCAGTGATGAATTCAGTGATGAATTCAAAATGCCTACAGAAATTATCTCAGTCAACACACAATAGCCACACTGTTTCCTGGGGAGTGGTTTTTGTGCGGTGTATGCAGACCACACAGATACCAAGCATATGATGATCCTTTTGAGATTTTGCCCTTGGGATCTCTCTCTTAAGTATTTCATTTTCTTGACAGAAGGCCAGGATTTATGTGTGAGTATGATTGGTTATTACTGTAAACATACCCTGTCCTTCAAGAAACCTGGAATCAAACTGTGTTGCCAGCAACATACATGGACCTCTTCAGGGCAATATTGCAAAGGTGCACAGATCTCAACACATTGCAAAGCTGGAGATAGGAAAGTGAGCATTTTCAAATAATATGATCGAATCCCAGATAGTGAAAGAGCAAAATACTTTCTGGTATTTAAATGCAGCCCATGAGAAACATAGATAGCGTATGATTGAAAAAGGCCATTTTTGCCTGCTTTAAAGGAAAATGCTTTTCTTTTGGAGTAAGAGGTATATTTTAGTATGGGATTAAATAATTTGCATTTTGAGTATCTGTACAGGATGTTTGAATTATTAAACAATTTTTAGATTTTGAAATGAAGCTATCAGTTCAAAGACAGTTCTGATCCTGAGATTTTTATAGTAATACAAATTTCCTTTGCTGGCATGGGATGCAGTGTAGCTAAGTTATTAAAACCATGCTGACCTAACATTGATCTTATGGCAATTATGGCCTCACTGGTGACAAACGCCTGGGTCTTGTACCAGTGAGTATTTACTTGAAATGAGCCAGTGACTCATGGTTAATGACTAGACATTACACAGTTCCAGTGTCCCTTACAGGCATTCTTATCAGCACTGAGGTAGATTGCCATATTGGCCTCTTAGTTCAGTGGTCAAGCACCATCACTGTGTGGGTTACCTGTTGACTCGAAAGCTTCTTACAGACTGATTTGTATAACCATACTTTGACCATAATGGACTTGTGTCAACTCTTTTCCCTTAAGGAGTAAATTTTACGTTTAACTGCTGGTTTAACTATTAAAGTCTCAACATGGAGGGCATTAAAAATCCCTTGCAGATTGTTCAGGTGGCATGTATCTTTAGAAAGCCATCATGTCATACTCCTGTGGGTGGCAATGCTAGAGTACTATATGAATGAGGAAACATGGCATTAGGTTTAAATGCAATAACTTACATCCAGTATCAGACAAGTGGACTACTCCTTAATCTCATCTCCCTCATATTCCACTGCATCTGCTCTGGAAGTTCTCCCAACCTTCTGGAACAGATTTAAGGGTACACAGAGGTTGTAGTAGAGGGAAAGGAAAACTTCTGCCACCAGTTATGCTGGCATAATTTGATGGTGCTGTGATGAACACTGCCATGGGTTTTGTTTTGTTTTGATTTTTGGAAGATTTTCTTGATGAACTCTGAAGAGTGCTGTAACTTTTACATTGGTCATAATTTTTTATTGGTAAGGCGCTTTTCTAAATGTTTTATTTGTTTTGCAATGAAACAAATCCCCATTGTTTTAAAGTAGATCAGTAGACCTAAGGTACCTCAGCCTGCCAGAATTCAATTTCTTCTGAGTATTACTAATATCATAATGTAAAGGGAAGTACAATTGTGTAATTGAGCACTTAGCTTTGCAGGTTATGACAAGTAATTCTACTGTTGTCAAATTCCAGTGTGGTCACATGAGGATGGCTTTCCACTCTAGATTTTGTATTTGGGTGGCCTGCTTGAGAACACTGTAGGTGTGTCTCATGACATGTGAAGGGCATGTGCATGTGAGGTTCTGGAACGGGGCCTGAACAGCTGGAAAGTAGGCAAATGCTGCAAGGCTGGGCATGTGCCAGTTGAGAGAGAGTGCATCTAGGTGTGCAGTGAATACTTGAGTCACAAAACACATATGAAACAACTACAAGTGCAGTTCACATGCAATAAAGTGTGATACATTAATGTTTTAATAAATCAATAGTTGGGCTAAGGTCTCCGTCAGACATTCCTGTCCAGATACAGATCCCTACCCAGTAAACCACCCTGGGATATGGCGAAGAAAACAAATCAACTGGGCAGTAGTGTGGTTAGCTGAACACTGGGAATCTTGAGCCGTAGGACTAGACTGTGAGCACTTTTCAGATCACAGGACAGTGAGACTATATTTTCCAGTAAAGGTGCTATAGGCTGTTTTGTCCATCACCAAATGCAGCCAGCAGCCATCTTTCAAGTTTACCAGGGGCTTGTTAAGCCTCTTTTTTGCTCTTTCCCTGGGACTACAAAAAGAGGGCTGTGATCAGCTTGATAAGGCACAAGCTGCTCCACTTAGTGTTGGAGGCAGGGCATTCTCTCTTAACTGGCACATGCCCAGCCTGTTCTTGTGGACTTGAGATGTGTCTTTGGAAGGTAATGTCTGACCAGAGGCTGTATAGATTAAGGGTCTGTACAGAAAGTGGAAGTGTATTATAATTGCAGCTTTTAGTAGCACATTTTTGTTTATAAATTCTCACCAGTTTGAACAATATTTTCATGCTATGTTTTGAAATGGAAAGGTAAAAGAGTCAAAGTAACATTATTGTGTAAAATTCTTATTTAATAGATTGATGAACAGTTAAACAATTCGGGAACTGAATCAGCATCGGAGGTAATCAGACTTCTTTACAATGCAACATTCACCTATATATAATTCACTATTATTCTTATAATAATAACTGTGTTCAAAAACACAATACATATTTTGGTAAACATTGCACAATAGCAGAGTCCTTTTGGATCAATTAGTGGTTTGGCTCCATCTATGAGTTAAATGTAACTTCAGAATTAGTATTATTTTGGTTCATTTTGTTTGTGATTTTTATTGACTCTTTGCCACTTGGTAATCACTAATGATTTTTATGTTTGCACATTATTTTTCCATGCTTCCTATTTCCTCATCTGCTTGCTATAAGTGTATATCCATTTCAGATATATTATTTCAACCTGTATGGATATATGAGGAGCATTCTGAAATGTCATCTGCTTTTGATATGGGAACAATACATTCCTCAGAATTTTGCCACTGGGTTAGGTGAATAGAATGACTGAATTGCTGCCAGTGAATGACTACAGTAACCTGGTTTACATAGTTCTATGGTAAATGTGGTCTGATAGACTCTAAAGCAGCTACTCCATTTAGGTCATCTTATGTGGCTCCACACCTGGAGGATCACAGACATCCAACTGAGTGTCAAGCACTGCTGGGATTCCTCAAATCCCGGTGGAACCCCAGTTCTTCTCTTCCTGGCTCCAACTCACTCTTGTGATGTCAGAGCTAAGGGGAGTTTCGAATGAACTGTAGTAACTGCAAAGACAGGGGGGGAGTGTGCTTTGTAGCTCTGACCACAGAGTCATGGTGTACATAGCCACTAAGGTACCTTTAGCTAGCGGTTTCCAGATTCTGCATTTCAGTTGGAATTCACCTATTTACAGAAACAGAATTAAGTTTCCAACAGCTTTAACAAAGAGTTTCTTGTCAAATGATTTACTAACCATGAAAACATCTTAAGGGACAATCCTATGTAAGCTCAGACAAAAGAAGCTGATTGGGACCTGCCGGGAGCTGTAGGACTTTTATTGTCTAAAGTTGCTTATCCTCCTCCTCATCTCATCATCAGCATCCTGCCTTTATATCCTGCCATTTTTCTCTTGTGAGGAATCCAGGATAGCTCACAAGTTTCTTCTTGCATCCTTAGTCAGTTAAAACACAGGCTTTCAGAGCCATCTTAAGAATGCATTCCAAGAATTTCTTTATGAAGTCTCTTGAAATCTTTAAAGTACAAGTAATTGCTTTTGCAGGATCTTTTAAATTTTAAGATCATTCAACTATTTGCTACTTTTTAATGGCTAAAATTTAGGAGGATCGTACCAAGAACCTTACTGGTTTCAGTACGGGCAGTGCTTAGATGGGAGACTGCCTATGAACTTCCTGTGTAATTTTGAACAGCATCTGCAAGAATGGTGGGGCATAAATGCAAAGAATAAAGTTGAAATGGTATTTAACTTATAATGTATTTTCAAGGAAATAAAGTACACATCACTTCTCATTTTGGACATGGTTTATTATCCATAGACTAACAACCTGAGCTGTCATGCTGTTAAGCCAAAGCACCTGCATTTAAGCTAAGACAAAGTAACTAGTAATGTTAAAATCTCATGACTTTGATACTGCAGCTGGTAATGGAACTGTCATGTGCTAGCAGCTGTGCTGGAGGCAGCTCCTACACAGAAGTAGGTTCCTTTGGATGGTGGCTGAGGAGAATAGGATTGTTGTATGGCTCTACTCTGCAGTGTAGGCAGTTTTGCTATGTCGTTGGTATCGCTTATGTAGTAATATCATATGATCCCAAAAGCCACAATTGTTTTTGGGAAATGAGGAAGATTGGATTAATGGATTAAGGAAGATTGGACTAATTTTGCACTGCACCTTTTTTTTAAAAACTGGGAGTTTGGCATGCTGCAAAGTAAACTGCTGCTCTCTGGCATGATATGTATTTGGGTTCAGAAGAGTGGTTTGATTTTTGGCATTTGGAACCCTCTTCCTGTAATAAAGTTCTTGAGCAAGTTACTTTTCTTTTAGTCTTACTGGTTTGTTTTATGGGGAAAAGCAGGTTGCTTACCTGTAACTGATGTTCTTCGAGTGACCGTCTGTGCATTCACACATATGGGTGCTGCGCCTGCGCAGTGCCTAGGCTGGAAAGATTGAAAGCTAACGGTTTTTGGCGGGAAAAAACTCTGCTCCCCTTCCCTTCAGTAGTATATACACAGCAGAGTGTCCACCATTTTGTTCAGTCTCGGAAGACCAATCGTTTGCCCCCTTGTGGGAGAGAAAACCATTACAGCAAGTATCATCGGTACCATGAATAAGAAAATGGTACCGATGAAGAGATCCACTCACTGACACTGAGCAGGGCCGGCGGGTGGTTTGCGTGAATGCACAGATGGCCACTCAAAGAACATCAGTTACAGGTAAGCAACCTGCTTTTCTTCATTGTGGCCTCTGTGCATCACACATATGGATGAGTAGCAAGCTTACCAAAGTTGGTGGAGGGCGGTGTCATCATTGAAGAACAGCAGAGAGAACAGTCCTCCCGAAGGAACAGTCTCTTCTGGCACGCACATCAAGGCGATAGTACTTGGCGAAAGTACACAGAGTAGCCCAAGTCGCAGCTTTGCAGACCTCTTGGATTAGGATACCCGCAGCAAATGCAGAGGAAGCTGCTACTGCCCTAGTAGAGTGACCCGTCGGGACAAAAGGTAAGTCAATCTTCGCAAGTTGGTACACCAATACGATGGTTTGAACTATCCATTTCAATAGTTTCTGAGATGAAACAGGTAATCCTTGGTCTTGTTCAGAATACTTCACAAATAGTCTGTTGGAACGCCGAAGAGACTCTGTGTGTGATGTGTAAAAGGCCAAGCAGCATTGCACATCTAGAGTATGCAAGGATCTTTCAATCGGGTTCGACAGTGATGGGAAGAAGGCAGGTAAGACAATCTCTTGATTCAGGTGGAATGGCATGGCCACCTTGGGCAAAAACGTAGAATCCATTCTCAAAACCACCTTCTCCTTATGAAAGTTAAGATAACTATTCGAAGAGCACAAAGTTCACTGGCTCTGCGAGCTGATGTAACTGCAACAAGAAAAGCTGTTTTCCATGACACAAGATGTAAATCAACAGTCGCTGAGGGTTCGAATGGAGGTCTTGTAAGTGCTTGAAGAACAACTGAAAGGCTCCATGTAGGCATGACCGGTTGAATAGAAGGGTGAAGATTCTGCAGTCCTTAAGGAACCTCCTAATAAGCGGCTGTGAAAACACCGATGAGCCTTGTATAGCACCATGGTAATGCGATATCGTCGCTGTGTAAACCTTAATGGATGAAGGTTTAAGTTCCAAGCGATGTAATTGTAAGAGAAACTGAAGGATATTTTCTACTGAGGCTGTCACTGGAATAAATGAACGTGATTCCGCAAAAGATAAGAAGCGACGCCACTTCGCTGCATAAGACTTTCGTGTTGATGGTCTTAGTGCAGACTCAACAATCCTTTGAACGTCTGGGTCTACACAGCTTGGTCCTGATGATATATTTATCGGTACTGAGGAATTAAGGAAGTCAATGGGCTCGTGAGTTGAAGTATCGAGTGACCTAGTAGACCTCGGGACCAAACCAGAACTGTTAGTCAACGAACTCGCCACGCTGTGAGGTTCAACAAAGGCAGGTCCGGGTGACAGACAGCACCGCCTTGTTGAGTTATGAGATCGGATCTCGCCAGGAGGTGAAGAAAGGTGTTGTCCAAAATCCGAAGGAGGGTGGAGAACCACGCTTGGCGAGGCCACCAAGGTGTTATCAGGATTCCCGCGGCACCATCGTGTACGACCTTCGAGATGACTTTCGTTAGTAGCGGAATAGGCAGAAACACATACATTCTGATATTTGTCCGAGGGATCATAAGGGCGTCTCCCATCAATCCCAGTCCTATTCCCTCCCTGGAACAGAATCTGTTGCATACCCTGTTCTTGTGGTCTATGTCCGAATGTCTCCAAAGTTGGAAGAGCTGGCTGCAGACCTGGCAGTTTAATTCCCACTCGTGTGTCATCGACATGTGCCTGCTCAGAATGTCGACTTCTTCGTTGTTGGTCCCGGCAAGATGGACCGCTAAAAGAGTTATATCCCTTGGGATGCACCATTCCCAAATGTCCATGGACAGACGAGCTAAGGCAATGGATTTTGTTCCGCCCTGCTTGTTGATATAAAACACCGCAACTATGCTGTCGGATGTGATCTGGACAACCTTTTGACGGACAGTGTCCTCGAAAGATCAAAGTGCTTTGAAAATTGCTAAGAGTTCGAGGTAGTTGAGTTCGAGGTAGTTCCACGTGTCCTGGGACTGCAGTCCCGGGCATACCCAATCAGTGAGGCATTGGTATACAGAATCAGCATTGGGTGGGGGGCCTGGAATGGGGTACTCACATCTAAATTAGGAGAGTAAGTACCCGGAGGAGGGCTTTCTCTGCGGTGGCGCCCAACCTGTGGAATTCACTCCCCAAAGAGGTCCGCCTGGTACCGTCGTTACTGGTTTTTCGGCGCCAGGTAAAGACCTTTTTATTTAAACATCATTTCAATTGTTAAAACATATGATCTGGCCAGGGCAACTTCTTCTTCCTTCTCTTTCTCCTCCTATATTTTTATTTTATACTGATAATTTTAATTTTATTTTTGTAAATCAATGTATTCTTTGTATTTTTATATTTAATGGTAATTTATTATGTACTATTGTATTTCAATGTATTTTATCATGTTGTAAGCCGCCCCGAGGTTTCGGCAAGGGGCGGCATAGAAATGCTATAATAATAATAATAATAAAATAATAATAAATTGGTACGGATAGTCCACCAAGTTAATGTCTGTAGAACAGCTCGGGGTACTTGGATTGGTTTGTTGGAGAAATCTCATTGCGGACAGAAGTTTTTGTTGAACCAGAGTTGAAGAGGACGTAACCGCAGTCTGGCGTGTGGGACAATGGCAACGGATGCAGCCATATGGCCCAAAAGTCTCTGAATTGAGAGCGCTGGAATGACTTTGTCCTGTAGGATCCGAGAAATATAG